GTAAGTCATTAAGACATAACCTCACTGTCTATTGATCGTAATATGTTAAGTAAGGTTAGAAACGTGCTGATCCCAGCATTTGCGATCAAACAAGTCTTTCTCAGAAATACTCTTTATAATGCTTTAACTAATATTTCATAATGTTACAACAATAGCATAGCAATATACGATCCTTTCATAATAGCCCCCACCGACAGTCGGGTCTACGTAACAGGAACGGATCCGAATTTTTAGCCGGTCAAGGATTGCCAACTTGACAGCATATTCTATTATTCATTACTATTTCAGGATTATTATTATTCTACCACTACAACAACAACATTCCCTAATAACAGTGATATTTTATAGTTTGACAAATAGAAAGTCTTGTATAAATCGTTTGCTGTAACTCTCCGAAATGAGTACGGTATATGAGTATATATTTTCAGCACCACATGCATTCTGCCACGCACAATTTAAACAGTACTGCTGATAAGCTTGGTCAACAAAAGATAACAACAAGTGCAAAGTAAATAAACAACAGTGGAGGTAAGGTACTCGTAAAAATATATAGTCATATACTTAATTCCATACACCCGTTGTATTAATTGGATGATAGGGCGTAGCTCTAAACCTTCTCACATACGAATAACCGCAAGAAAGAGACTAAATATACAAAGAAATTTCCATTTAGTAAGCTTTCAATAAGAAAATAAGCAGTATCAGTACATACATATTTAATCAATAAATTAAATAAATACTACTAGTCGACACTGTGGGAAGAGCGGGTGCGAACACAACACTCAATACACTTATGTATGTAAATGGCTTTGATAACCGCATTGTTGTATTGAAAATTATGTAGTGTTTTCATACACTTAGATGTTAAGGAGCACATTTATTGTGGAATTAAAAAAATTATACTTTGCTAGTTTATACAATACTTTAACAAAAATGGAATTTCGGCAGACCAAAAACGAATAAAATTTGGATGAAATTCAATTCTTTTTCTAAAAACGTCGTTTTTTTGTCAATTTTTTTTTTTTTGAACATAGGCCATTGTGCGAACAATATCTTCTATTTAAATGTTTTTTTACGTTTCATCTACGGAGAAGACCGGAATAAGAAGGCGAGTTACTCGAAAAATATTATATTTAATTTTTTTCTTAAAATTTTTTACTGTGTTCTTAAAATATGTATAAATACATAGGAGAAAACTTCGGAGATCCTCTAAAATATATATGTATATGTATAAATGATCAGCATGATGAGCTGAGTCGATTTGGCTATGTTCGTCTGTATATACGCGAACTAGCGCTCCAGTTTTGGAGATACCGATCTGAATTTTGCACACGTACTTTGCTCCTCAAGAAGCTGCTCAGTTATCGGAACCACATATATTGAACCATTATTGCATATAGCTGTCATAAAAACTGTGATCGTTCATATACATATTCCTGTATGGAAAACTTTTTTATTTTATGAGATATCTTCACAAATATTGTACAATCTCTAAAGAAATTGTTCAGATCGGATTACTTTAGCATATATCTGCAAAACAAACTGATCGATTAAAATCAAGATAAAGATATTTTTACACCCTTTTATGCTATAAGAACTGCACCTATGAAGGGTGTTATAGCTTCGGTTAAATTTGTTTAACGCTTTTTCTTGTTTTAATTCTCAAAAATCGCCTTCTTTTAGGCGGTAAAACTAGCTAGGACTCTTAAGGATCCTGGTTACCTGAGAATAATTTGGATTGTGAAATGTAGGAATATATTAGAGGTTGAGTTGCTTAAGAATGAAGTTGGTCTCACTTAACAAGGAAGATTGATATTATTGTAGTTCGAATAAAGGTCCGAAGCACAGAGCCAAGCGACTGAGTGGAGTTCGCTGCCTTCAAACAATTACAACTAATCTCAATTTGTTGAATTGCATCGATAGCAAAAAAATAGCAAATTGACTAATTTCAGCTAAACTATTTGCATTGGAATCTGTTTATATGTAGCATAAAAACATACAAACGAAATTAGTAATAAATAAAAATAAATATTAATAGTTTTATGCATATATTTACTTTGGCTTGCATATTGTTGTTGCATATACACGCCCTTCTCGCTTTTCGCTGATAATGTGAAAAATATTTATATATATATGTATTCAAACAATCATATACGAGTACATAAAATAAATATTCAAACAAAATAAAGTAGATTATAGCCTCGGCCTACAACGTGAGTGTGGAAATTATAGTTGCTGCCGAGAACACCTAGCGATTAAATTAAGTTCAGGCGCATTTGCCAAAGGTGTGTACACACAACCACACATGTATTTTTACGATTATTTTACATTTTATAGCGTGCGTGTTTATTTATAAAATTCACAAATAATTCTAAACACAAAAAGCTTTGAAAGCTCTTAGAGCGAGACGAAAATATAGCTTCTTAGCAATTCTATAAGCAACATTCACGTATACACAAGCAGCAATCAGTGATCGCCAAGCCGTTTGAGAATCGTGCGCACTGTGGTGGGTTTTTTTTGTTTTGGTCTCGTGTGGAGACTTTAATAGTATTCACGAGACTTGTGTTAAGACTGTCATTTACATATATAGCACATAAACACAAACATTATTTAAAACGACAACAACAATATGCTTGTTTATAGTTCATAGTTGTATATATGTATATTTTTAAATATTTTATTATTTTTTAAATTTCAAATATTTTAAAAGATCTGCACACAACCGTTTTCGCTGTACACCGTTTCAATACTACTTCGACAAACGTAGAGATAGTGGTCACAAACTGTATAATAAACAACACAAAAAAAAACGTAAAGACATAAAAATAATTATCCACGCGCGTGCACAAATATGTACTCGCTTTTTTGTGTAAATACATACGTACACAGGTACCTAAGTACTTTTTACGCTTTTATGTATGAATTTCCTTATTAACTAGTCTTTATTCTTTTCTAGTGCCAGATCATTTGTTTAATTATTAATTTTTCTGAATTTTCGCAAAAAGTAATATTTACTTAAAATATTATATGATTTATGTCATAGAAATAAATAACAAAAAGAAAATCTTAAAATAGATGGCAGTAAAAATATTTGTGTTAATCAAAAAATAAAAATAATTATATTTTGAAATTTTAGAACACAATGCGGCAAATTGAAACTTATAAATAATATTGTATTAAGATTCCTCTCTGGTAGATTAGTATGGTATTTAATAAAGTTCGAGTACGGAAAATATTGTGTGCCCAAGAAAATATTGAATATGTTGAAGGTGAACTATAATCTGACATTTCGATACTACTTGCATACATGTACATATGTATGTATGCAGATATACAATATATATACATATGTATAAGTCACTGCATTTTACTACTACTATTTACAATTAAAGATAAAGGATATAGTGTTGTGATAGTGTGATAATTATTTTATTCTTTCCATTACTTTAAGCACCATATCTCGTTCTATTGGCCATAAATAGTGCAGTTTAATATTAAAAGACGGAATTCCTTCCTATAGTTTTTTTCATTCGTAATTTTACTTTTCATATATATTTTTTGCTGTAAACCCAAAAAAAAAAAAAACTAGCCACCAACTAGTCAGTATTTTAGTTTCAAGTCATAAACTATGAACCATGACTGAACAGAATCCATCTATTCTATATATGTATGTACATAAACACACATGCAGATATCTATGTACGTATGTATGTTTGTTTGAATGTACCCATGCCTGTTTGCATCATCTTTAATATACATTTTTTATTTGCTTTAGTTTCCGTATACTCGTTTTTGTTTTGTACTCAATTCGCCGCACAAACAAATGTTGACCTTGACATTTATTAGTGCTGATTCGAATTACAATTTCACAATGATAATTAATATTGAACTTCGTTTCACTTTTACACTTTTAGAATTTAAATTCTAATATAAAGAAAGGATAGTGCATAAATAAATTGCCGTTTTAAAAGCAAAATCGTTTCGATTTCAATATGAATTCACAAAAATAGCTGGGTGGGCAGAAAAACCATCAGCTGTGTGGCAGTCAACCGTTTGCCAACACAACTGCCCATGCACATACACACATAAATCTATGGCGCTCACAATACACGGTTGGCGAGTTTTGCCGCATCATTAATCAAGTATTGCATAATATTTCGTTGCTTTCAATTCAATTAAATTTAGCTTGTTCTTTTATTATTTTGTAGGAATGTTCAGGTTGTATAAGTTCATTTATCTTTATACATTTTTAATGTGCATTAACCAGTTCTAGCAAGTAAAAAAAGTTTTTGTATTTGAATAATCACCGTATTTATTAAATATTTACTTCCGTCAAACAATTTAATAATTTCGTTAACGATTAAATAGAGGGAGATAAGAACATATGAAAGCAGCTTGACCTACCCTAAATTAAGATTACCAAGCGGAAAACACTGGTATATCCGAAAGCACTTCAAATCCGTTACCGCGACAGTCGGGTCTACGTAACCGGAACGGACTCGGATTTTTATCCGGCCAAGAACTGTCAACTCGGCAGAATTCTGCCGCTAAAACAACAACAGCAAAGCAGTTCAAATAGAATTAACGCGAAATATTTCAAACGTTTTCACAATTTAAAAAATTGATAAGAAAAAATTCTTTGAAAAGCGATGTTAAAGAAGTTTCTTACTAGCAATTCAGAAAACAAAAGAATATTATCAAAGCTCAAAGGCGCTGTCAATAAAGTCAGCTCCATCGTTTCTTCAAACTTTTTGTTATGAATATTGTTTTTGTACTTTTTTTCATTGTCTCATTCCACGCACATTTGTTGACTAGTTTTTACTGTATTTTTTATTTGTTTTTTCATAGTTCATGTAGATATAAAATATAATGCGCAATACCAAAAAATTCACAAAGCGAATAAAAATTATTCCTTTCCTTGTATATTTCACACTACCATATTTAAACAATATTCAATTAATTGAATTGTTTTAGTAAGAAAAAAAAAAAAATTCACTTACCTTCCAAGCGTTTACTTTTGGCGGGGGGGCCGCAACGTATTTCTTAGGTTGAGGAGGTGCAACTGGGGCGCCGTTTGGTCCAGTCGCTGGAGTTTCGGCGTCGCTACTTTTTGCTTCATTTCCACTGCTTGTGTTTTCGACACTAGCGCTTGGCGAAGTATCTTTGCGCTCCTTTGGAGACTTTGGTGCGCCGCCAGCAACACCCTTACGTGGACTACCGGCGCGTTGACGTGGACGGCTAGTATACTTTTTATCTCCATCTTTGTCACTAGCACCACTGACACCTACTCCCCCTATGCGTTTATTTTTTCCACCTTCACCACCACCACCATTTCCATTGCCATTGCCGCCACCGGAACGCTGTCCACCGCCTCCACTAGTTAGCTTTTCATTGGTATTATTTCCGTTGCCACTTTGCCGTTCACGTCCAAAAGGTTTCTCTTTACGTGGCTTTTTACGATCACGGCGATGATGCGAAACTACTGGTACAAAATCATTATTATCATCGATTTCCGAAGAGTTTTCAGCGCCAGCATCCGTATTTGCAGCCCGTTTTTCACCGGTCACTGAAGCACTAGCTTCAACCACGGTATTGGGTAAGTTTTCAGTAGCTGCTTCAACAGCAGCGGCCTCCTCACTCCATGACTTAATTGTTTTAAGATTTGGCTGGTTTTCTTTGTTGTCAGAATCAGCAACGGCGACGTCGTCGGTTTCGCTTTTAGCTATGGCACCTTTTTTGGCCTCCAAGTTTTGCAATACATTAGCGTACGAAGTAGAAGCTGGGGTAGACGTTTGACCAGAGGGAGCGACCACCGTTGGAGTGGCAGTGGTGGCGCTCGTTTTTGAAGTTTCTTCTTTAGCTGCTGACATGTTAGTTTAAGGTCGTATATCGTGTGACTCCGGAGTATCGGTAACGTCAATTACGTTACTTACTCCAGAAAATGCTGAAACGTTGTGGAAACTCTTTGTTGCTTCCTTGCCCAATGAATATGACAAAAACGTTCAAACAAATCAATAAATAGACGTTGACACTGAAAAAGAAAGAATATTTCTTAATTTGGAACCTTAATATGATTCTCAAATTCGACATACACTCTTATGAAGTTAAAAAAGGTAGCTAGTTCTTGCGGACTACTACCAACTAGGACCGCTTCAATAAAATCAAACGTATTCGTTTAGCTAATAGGACTTATCAAGATGACAACATTTCTTTAACACTTTAATGTCTTCAAAAAATTGTCGTTGAAGCTTTGCATAAGAAATTAGATTAAGTTGAAGAAGTATTCAAATATTCATTCACTACAATCGCAAATGACATCATGTCCTTTGAGCGACAGCGATAAGCTTGAAACTGAAAATGAAATTTTTCAAGCCAAATTTTTACAACGGATCAACGACATTGAAATATTATTTATTGATATTAACAAATCAAACGTCCTATCGACTTATTACAATTTTTCGTCGGAAAAATAATACAAAATTTTATGAAATTTCGCGTAATATTTCAACGGATGTCAAATAGTAAGAAAATATGGTCAAAAGTGAGGTTAAGTAATTTGTACACACTGTCAAACTTCAAATAAAAAGAAAGCGAAAGGAAGAAAAAACACTATCAATTGACATTTCGAATTTTTCGTATACAGAGTTGCATGCAAAAGTAACAATTTTGAGGTATCACTTATGACATATAATCTATGCTATAGGGCAACAAACTGTAATGTAAATATTATGGTAAACATATATATGCACATATATATTTATATATTATATATGTGAAAAAGCTTTTCATCTCTGAATAATTAACAAATAACACTGCATAATCCGTATAAGTACCATAACCTAGATCTTCGTATTATGCAACATTGAAATTAAATGCACCTCTGTTTCTGTCAGCTGACCGTAGAGCACGAAACATAAAACAAAAATTTACACATTTCTACAGAAATTAAAATTTTTTAATATTTTAGCACATTGCAAGACTTGATGTCTCTTTAATATACTATATAAGTTGCACTGCTAACAAATACTCACAACGTCGATTCGCTAAGATTCACACAGTTCAAAATCCGATTCGCACGCTTTGTGTTTTCTTCTTAACACGTCTTTATTGCGGTTTTTGCTTTGTGTACAATTTTCTACACATACAATTCTATTCGTGCAAAACCGAAAATCACATACGAAGCACAGTTTCGAACCGAATGCAAAGTACGACGAAATTGACAATTCGACAACGAAGAATAATGATATAAAGAGAGACGAAAAAAACGTAGTCTTTTTGCGTATTTGAAAATTTCTTTTAATTGAGTTTACGTGCAAACTATTGCAAATTTCCACTTCAATTCAATTGTACAATGTCACTGTCAAGTTTATTCAGCACCTTCTTATGATTTCACAGCACTTTTGACCATAATTTAATGGTATTTCGCGAAAAATCTCGTCTCACGAGCGAACATGTGGCCGACGCCGTTGATAGAAACTTCGAAAAGAACGAGGGCATTACTGGCAATCGCCCTGATTCGGGGGATGAACGGTATGGTTCTGCCCAACATGTGCAACGAATTGACAGTGTTGTTTTAATTTATTTAAGTTTTTTTTGTGCTATACAACATTTCATTTTCATGCATTGGGAAATGTAGTTATAATGTTTTTACTGGAAATGGTTCTTAATAGCCCTACCGATTTTATGGAGTTTTGTTCCTTTTATGCTTATGATAGGAATGATATAACTATTGTCAAAGACATCGCCAATATAATTTTGTGAATTTAAATTTTAATTATTATTTTTTTAAATAACAACCTGTTTTGAAACCTTATATTTTTTAACCTTTCACCAAATCAAAACTTATTACATCAGATATTTTATTAGTCTCGTTATAATTTGCTGTAGCGGCAACACTATTTAAATATTAATCTCTACGAAAACAGTGCATAGCGGAATGCAATATAAACAAATATATTAAAGTGTCAGCGACTTTTGTTCTTTAAAACACAGTCGCCAAAGACTATTTGAAGATCGGAAGGCGGAAATTAACAAATATCTTATCTTGCAGCAAGTATTTTCCATATAAGTATCTTGCGAAAAGATTTAGTCCATCATATATTTGCAGTAAGACGATAAGGAAACTTGCAGTAATCAAATCTCTTCACACTTAATACATTCATCAAAACGCTAGATATAGAATAAAAAAATACATAATCAGAATAGACGATAAATGCCGAAGTCGGCACTATCGCGCTTATAAAAATTTCAGACCAGTGTGGTGTACGTGGCAATCTGCAATTTGTTTATTCAAAGTTTTGGATACAGTAAATACACACCGAATTCTCATTAGACCTTTTTTAAAATGTGTGGTATATTCGCTTATCTCAATTACCTAACACCACGCTCAAGGCAGGAAGTACTCGAATTGCTAATAAACGGCCTTAAAAGATTGGAGTATCGTGGTTATGACTCAACTGGCTTAGCCATTGACGATCCGGATGTGGGCGACGAAATTAATAACATTATAATTGTTCGTCGGACTGGAAAAGTTAAGATCTTAGAAGATGCAGTCGCTGAAATGTGCAATACGGGCGCCTATAAGGAACCTATTACTACTCATATTGGTATTGCTCACACCCGTTGGGCCACCCACGGCCCCCCTTCAGAGACTAATTCACACCCTCAGAGCTCAGATATTGATAACAGTTTTGTAGTGGTGCATAATGGTATTATTACGAATTACAAAGACGTAAAAACACTGCTTGAGAAACGTGGCTATTTATTCGAATCGGAAACAGACACTGAAGTAATTGCGAAATTAATACACCACTTGTGGCGCCAGCATCCAACTTATTCATTCCGTGAGCTTGTCGAGCAAGCTATTCTACAATTAGAAGGTGCATTTGCTATTGCTTGTAAGTCAAAACATTTTCCTGGTGAATGTGTTGCTTCACGACGTGGTACACCGCTATTGGTTGGCATTAAGTCGAAAACACGTCTATCTATTGACCAAATTCCTATATTTTACGCCAAGAAGCAACGTGCACATGGAAAAACACTTCCAGCTGAAGTATCATTGCCACCGCGTTATGACGACACACCAGCAGAGTATCAACCCTTGGAGGGTAAAGAAGTGGAGTACTTTTTTGCTTCGGATGCTAGCGCAATAATTGAGCACACCGATCGTGTCATATACCTTGAAGATGATGATGTAGCAGCAGTCAAAGATGGCGCATTAAGTATTCATCGCCTAAAGAAATGCTTGGATGATCCGCATGCCCGTGAAATTACTACATTGAAAATGGAAATACAGCAAATTATGAAAGGGAATTATGATTCGTTTATGTTAAAAGAAATATTTGAACAACCTGAATCGGTAGTAAATACAATGCGCGGGCGGATGTTCTTTGAAACACGTACTGTAGTATTAGGTGGAATTAAGGAGTTCATACCGGAGATAAAACGTTGCCGACGCTTAATACTTATAGCTTGTGGCACATCATATCACAGTGCGATTGCGACCCGTCAGCTGCTGGAGGAACTTACGGAGTTGCCAGTCGTAGTAGAGCTTGCTTCGGATTTCATGGATCGTCACACTCCCATTTTCCGTGATGATGTTTGCTTCTTTATATCTCAGTCTGGCGAGACAGCAGACTCGCTGATTGCTTTGCGTTATTGCAAACAACGAGGTGCGCTTATTGTGGGTATAACCAACACTGTGGGCAGCAGCATCTGCCGCGAGTCGCACTGCGGCGTGCACATAAATGCCGGTCCTGAAATAGGTGTTGCCTCAACCAAAGCATACACTTCGCAATTTATTTCACTAGTTATGTTTGCACTAGTTATGTCGGAAGATAGACTATCGCTGCAACCGCGACGTCTTGAAATCATATACGGTCTAGAGACACTTGCCGATCAGATTCGAAAGGTACTACAATTGAATTCTAAAGTTCAAGAGCTTGCTAAGGACTTATATCTACACAAGTCACTATTAATAATGGGACGAGGCTATAATTTTGCTACATGCCTAGAAGGTGCACTAAAAGTGAAGGAATTAACGTATATGCACAGTGAAGGTATATTAGCGGGCGAGTTAAAACATGGGCCTATTGCATTAGTGGATGATGAGATGCCAGTATTGATGGTTGTCATGCGAGATCCAGTATATATGAAGTGTATGAATGCATTACAGCAGGTAACTGCACGCAATGGTCGCCCAATCATATTATGCGAAGAGGGTGATGAGGATACAAAATCATTCTCATCGCGCTCCCTTGAAATTCCACGTACTGTGGACTGCCTGCAGGGTATACTAACCGTCATTCCCTTGCAATTGCTGTCGTATCACATAGCAGTGCTGCGAGGTTGCGATGTGGACTGCCCGCGTAACTTAGCCAAATCAGTAACAGTGGAGTAGTGCAGCAGTGGCGAGTGCATTGAAAAGCGTTAACCAAATTCAATATACAATATGTACATACGAGAATATTTGTATGTATTTCAGTATATGTAAAGTTCTTATTCCTATATTCTAAAAAGCATTTTAAAGTATATACTTTGAATTTTATTTTTATGATAATTGCTTAATATACGTATTGAGTCAGAGGTATTATGTATTTTATTAAATCTAAAATATCCTAACAGAGCACACAACCGATATCTATAAAATATTATGTTTATTATTCGCATCCTGTTTTACCCCAAAATAATCAAATAAATTAAGAAAACTAAAGTGTTCATTACCCATTTTTAAATTTTGTTGTTGTTGTAAAAAACCGAAATAACAGTCCCCGGTCAAACAAAAGCCGGGTCTATTTCAGTACTGTAGAACTGACTATTGCGGGAATTGCTTTATGTATGGTATATTATTTGTCGTGGTAAGTGATTTTATATAGGGTTTTGAAATTGTATTGTGGAATGTAGGCTTATAGAATAGCGCTGGACCAAACCGATTTAGGAACTGTTGTGGTAAGTGTTAAATGCAAAATGATATCCAAGGCGTTGTAAGGAAATATAAATATAATATAAATTAATTAAAACTGTTTAAAAACTATTTTGGAAAAGACGGTATAGTTTATATGTATTTTATACGAATATATTAATGTACATTTACATCTATCATCAATATAATAGATAATATTATATTGAATAAAGTTATTAAGTGTCCAATTTTAACCTGGCAACCCTTCAGTTAAATTCACGTTCCACAAATGTCATAACATTTGCAAAAGAAAATTTTCTCAGAATCTGCCAACGTTTTACCAATGTGTAGATTAAACCGCTTTTTTTTTGTGAAACTAACGGGAAAATAGGAAAATTATTAAATAAAACTTACAAAGAGCTAGTGTTAAATGTAATTGAATAAATTACTTGTAGCAGAAGTATATTCAAGAAGTGAAAAAGTGCAGAATATGACTGTGGCCGAGGGATTGGCGTCAACGTCCGCCGCAGCAAATGCTGCAACTAGACCGCGTTGTTTTTTCGATATTTCGATTGGTGGCTTAAATGTTGGTCGCATAGTTTTTGAATTATTTAAAGATGTTGCACCGAAAACAGTGGAAAATTTTCGAGCACTTTGTACTGGCGAGAAAGGTATCGGTTTAGTTACAGGCAAGCCGTTGCATTATAAAAATGTAATATTCCACCGTGTTGTCAAGGATTTTATGATACAAGCTGGAGATTTTTCGGCTGGAAACGGTACCGGTGGTGAGTCGATCTACGGTGGCACTTTTGAAGGTACGCTGAAATTTGTAAACATATTAATATGCATATGCACCAATAAATCTAATAAATAGTGCAAAATATTGTATAAATTGAACAGTGGTACCCAGGGTTGGGAATTGGAATGTACTAAGACTAAGTTATACTCATCTAATTTACATTAGTAAAATTGCATTCTTAAATGCTGTTCATAGCAAGTTTGATAACATTATAATAACAATTATTTATATGGGGGTTTTAAAAGAATTTTTGAAACAATAATATAATTGAGAGATTCTATAAAATGATTTTGTAATTATTTAAGTAAAAAAATTTAACCTAAGCTTTAACGACGCTGTCGATTCATTTGTAATTTAATTAACTGAAAAATTGTGTACAAATTACTTTTTCCTGGGGCTGCTGAAAGACGCTAAAAATTATTTTTATGAATAAAAAGTCTAAAGCCATCGAATACAAATTTTGCACATTATAGTTGACGAATTTTTCTTATTCGTGTTATTCCCAGAATTAGGATAATTAAAAATTGTTATATATTCATGTTCTATTGTACATATTCTACTCAACTAATTCCTTTATTTGATACTTCTTATCTGTAGATGAAAGCTTCGATTTTAAACACGATCGCCCCTTTTTGCTGTCAATGGCAAATCGTGGCAAAAATACCAATGGATCACAATTTTTCATGTAAGTTTAATGCAGAATATTAATTTGTGTAAGTCTATGAAGCAAGTAGAATTTTAGTATTAACATCTAACGTTTCTTTGCAGCATCACATTAAATCGAAATGTTTTGTTTAGAGATTATATTGATTTATTGTTGTTATTATTATCATTGATTTGTCATCATCTAGCTAGCCACTAATCCTAGGTCGTCACAAAATAGAGTGTAATAAAATCGATCTGGTCGATAAAGCTAAGTTGCGCAATATTGATGATAATCTTTGTGAACAGCTGACGGCGCTTGCACATTGGTATCGCAATTGTCCCATTGAACCTAGCCCCAGCATGTGGTTGCTTGTTTTTATGGCATCCATGCCGCACCAGCTGGACATATTTAAATACATTTGTTTGGGTCTCGACAACTGCCCTGCTACCCCACCCCCACTACTGTGCGTGCAGCTTTTTGTCTGGGGAGTGAGTGCAGTAGTAGGAAGCGAGACGACAGCAGGATTTTCACGCTACGTCCTACGTAGAAAAATTCCATTGCTTTGTTGCACCAAATCAAAACCAAATGAATACGAACTCAATGTGTACACTGTGTAAAGCATATTTTTCTTCTTCTGTTTTTCATTGTAGTACTACACAACCCGCGCCTCACTTGGACAAGTAAGTTTATCTTAGGGTTATATATGATGGCCATTTATCTAATCAAATCCTTATTTTATTTTTTAGCGTCCACGTGGTTTTTGGTCAAGTAATATCGGGACAAGATTTAGTACGCCAGTTAGAGGAATTGCCAGTCGATAAAAATTCACGTCCGTTGCAAGATGTTACCATATCAAATTGTGGAGAGCTTGTACGTCAGGTCAAAGGTGCGTTAGCTAACAATAATATACGAAGTGAAATAAAAATATATATTTAATTACAGTTAAGAAGGACAAAAAGAAAAAGAAACGTGCTGCCTCTTCGGGTGAAGAAGACTCAGATGCCGACTCAGAAACTGAGAAGCGATCAAAAAAGAAGGAAAAAAAAAAGAAAAAAGATCGTAAACGTGAAAAATCATATGAGCGGTCAGTAACTAATTAAATTGTAATTGAAATAATTAAGGTGAAAAAATTCTTGAATATTAATAGATCTGGTACGGAGCAGAGTCAAGGAGACGAGGGAGAAAATGATGAAGCTGATGAGGGTGAATTACATCCGCTTGTGACTATCACCAAGATTGATCCTAACGAAATACCAGAGGTAATTTGGATTTAATTGAACATTGCGGTTGTCTTAATATTAAATAACATATGTATATAAAAGTAATGCATGAAAAAACCTATCTACTTTATTTCTGTGACAGGTCTCCAATAAGTTTTTGCTACGTGGTGACCGTTTGGATCGTTCACAAGAGCGGGAGCAAAGACGGGAATCGCGAAGCGAACGATCCAGTGAGCATCGGCCGGCATTTGGTTGGTCAAAGAAGCGTGTACCTGTCTCGCGCAGTGGACGCATTATTAAAGGGCGCGGAGTGTTCGTAAGTTGCCATTTAATTTTCACCTTAAATAGATTCATAGGAACTGTAATAATTAATCGTATAAATTTAGCGTTTTCGTACACCGTCCCGTAGTCGATCTCGTAGCACTACGCCACCACATTGGAAGCGTGCGCAGAACCGCACAATTAAACTGTCTGATTTGGAGCGACTCGAAGAAGAAAAGAAATTACGAGATGAAGAGATTAAAAGACGTGAGATCGAGCGCAAAAAGCGACACGAAGAGATGAGGAGAGATCCCAAGAAGTCTTTCTTTGAGTTGTCGCACGCTAGCTCGTACGGTGGTAGATACAGTGAATCACCTGATCGAAAAAATCGTGGCAAAGACAATTTAAACAATGCCCGAAAGGACAGACCTGATGACCGACGTACGGAGAAAGATAGGCCGCGTGAAAGAGGAAAGGAAAAGGAGAATGACAAAGAGAAGGATAAGGTAAAAGAACGCCGTACTGAAAACAACTCCGATTTGAAGTCTTTACCGAAGCGTAAGAAATCTATGGACATGAATGCACTGGATTATGAACATCAAGCAGATAGTGAAAATGAAGAAGGCTCAGCGGAGAAAGAAACGCCAAAGAAGCAAGAATCACATAAGAAAACTGAAGGTAATACATTAGAAAAAGATCGCCACAAGGAAAGAGATTCTGATCATGACAAAAACCGAGCTAAAGAAAAAGAAAGGGGTAAAGACAAGGCGGCAGAAAATGATAAAGATCGTAAGAGAGAAAGGAAAGACAGCGCAATTAAAAAAGATGAAAATAAAGAAGTGAAGTCTAACAATGAGAAAGAACACAAAGAGAAAAATAAAATTGACGAAAAAGAGAAAGAGAAAGCAAAAGACAAAGATCGTGATGTGGACAAAGAAAAAGACAATTCTCGTCGCAATCGAAATCGATCGAAGAGCGGATCACGCTCAAAGCAACGTTCCCGTTCACGCTCGCATCTTTCGCGCTCTCGTTCTCGCTCGTTTCGCCGTCGTTCTCCCATTAGAGATCGCCGCGACCGTTTTCCCAATCGTAGAGGTGGTTTTCGTTCGCCGCCAAGGCGAGATTTTCGCGGAAGACGTGGTGGCAATCCATTCATGGATCGTCGTCGTCGCTCTGTCGAACGTTATCGCAATCGCTTGCCACTCTCACCGATACGTACACGTCGGCTAACACCTCCACGCGATCGACGTTCTCGTGATCGTTCTATATCACGAAGTCGATCTCCACATTCACGATCTCGATCACCACGTCGCGATCGCATACGTAAACGTTCGGTTGATTCACGAGATCGCAGTCGTAATAATCGCAGCCGTTCGAAGTCACGTGAGCCACGTGTCAATTCAAAGTCTAAAGAGCTGATTGGTTCACGAAATCCGAAATCACGTTCACCAAACCGTGAAGCGCGCACCAAACGTTCGGGTACTCGTTCGCCAAGACGTTCCAAATCGGCAGATTATCGCCGTAAATCGAATGATCGACGTTCCGACACAAGAAAAGAGGGTACAGCAGAGGCAAATGTTAATTTTGCTGAAGGTAGTGCTGATAAAATGCGCGAAAAGATGTTGAAACGTGCCGAGGCTGCACAAATGCTAAAAGATCATATGCGTAAAGAGATTGCGAGAGAGGAAGAAAAACGTGCTGAAAAACAACGACTGGATGACTTGGAGAAAGAGAAAACTGCTCGTGAACTAGAAGAATTAGAACGCCTCAAACAAGAGACACTGCAAAAGCTGGAAGAGCATGAAAATCTCAAAAAGTTAACAGTTATAGCAGCGGTAGCCGAGGCCATCAATTCAAAGGATCGCGGCAAGGATGAGAAATCAAAGGAAAAGAAAAAGAAGCGTAAGAAGTCCAAGAAACACACACGGACTTCGGGCACTGACTCAAATTGAGAATTATTAGTTCAATATACTAAAATACGTATAATCAAAGGAGACTTACTCAATTTATTGAAAATATTACGTACATATTTATACATATAAATGAATACCAATTGGGAAGATGTACACGATTACGTGTAGATCGCCATTCAAAAACACACACATACATTCATACATACAAGGCATGAAATGATGTAAATTTAAATTAATTCTTACTTTCGTTTTTGAATGTTTACTATAAATAAAAATTAAATAAAAGATCTGAAAAAAAATGTGCATTAAGTCTGTATTGTTGTAGTTGTATTATTTTATTGTTTTCGTAGTGGAGAGTTTATGTTTGATTGTTTCAGAAGTTCCATAATTAAGTATAATTGGAAAATTAGCTAAGGACTGGCAACTCGACAAGTTTTGTGAAATGATTTCTGCTGCTAAAATAACAACACCAGTTGGATTTACATAATTGAAGCGAAACTGGGTTTATATCCGGTCAAGAACCTGGTAACCGGGTAAAATTGAAAACACTCTTCGCAAATTTGAAGTTGATTCAGCAAATAGTTTCGGAGATATGTACATATTATGTATTATTGATGTAATAAATTATTAAATTAATTGCTTCTTCAAAAGATATTCACAGAGAAACGCGTTTTACCTGACTTAAAAGCAAATGCAAAAATTACGTCTTTGTATACTTTTGGTGGACTTTACTTATATTGGACTCTCAAGCAGGCGATTGTTGTCAGCCTCCAGGTTCGTTTTTTGCGTAATTGGAAGATTCAGCTGTGTAGACGATATGTTTGTCAAACAATTTTGACGGAAGTGAAAATCGTTATAACAATAAAGGTTGACACCGACACAAGTTTGCATTTTCGTTACAAGGCATGCACACTAGACATTTCTCAGCGGTCAACACCTTTTGGATTCAGCATTTATTTTATTTCATTTTTATTATAACTTTAAAGACAATATTGTGTATTAAACACTTTTTGACAGCAAACTAGGTGATGTAAACGAATATATCGAATTCTCTATAAAATTATTTTCAGTAGAATTGATCAATTCTAAATTAAAGTTTTCACCAGAAAAACATAGAAAACCTCAATCTCCCTATTGCTTTTAGAATTATAGCTTACCGCCGTATTTCAGCTATATACTCTCACGTTCATTCATTCTTTGCAATGACATAATACACATTTTTATCACAGCATTTGCTTTGACTCCAACTTCCATCGAAACTTTGTGTTCTCTAAATATTATGTTTTAATATACCAGTGTATGAATGCGCTCATACTTTAAAGCTACTAGCCTGTTATAGCTTTTGGCTCTCAATTTGATTGAGCACGAGATTCATACTCATACATACACGCTGTATTGAGCTGCCGGCAATGTAAACCACTTGCTATGCGTTGCAGCATTAGTGGCGCCCCACCGTTGCTTCTTGCTTTTGGTTTATAGCTTTTCTCTCCTTTTTTATCACGCAATACTCTAACGCTGCCGTGTACATTAATATGGGAGGCAAGTGTGTTTGAATTTATGTATTGCTGAGCGCACGAAATTGAATTATGTGCGACGTTGAGAGCACAAAGCCGTGGATAAGGCAATAATAAAAGTAGTGTGCATGTCCGGGGTAAGGGAAAATGGCAAGGTAATAAAGGTTCGTACTGTGGGATGAAATGTTACTTCGCTGTAGTTAAGAAGAAATATTTGTATCTGATATATTTTTTGAAATTGAACCTCGGTAGATTGAAGTAAAGTCGAAACCCGAAATAAAACTGTCTGCATTATTTGAAGCAACTGCAATTTGTTAGATCCCTTCTTGTGGGATACCACAGTACCACGACGTAGGCAGGGATTTAGTTAAGGACTGACTTGTTATCTGGGTGTTCGTTGCTCCTCAACAGCACAGCTTACTTCTAATATGTACCCGTACATTATTATTTTTTATCATTATGAGTAGACACACATATGTATCTAAATATAAAATATATACACATGCGTACATATGTATGTATACAACGACTTCAATCCACTGTATGCAATGCGTACATATTTGATGAGGCGGCTTTTTGCCGGCTCCACTAATAAAAACAAATGCACATATCAACAATCCCGTCCAACACAAGCTTGTGTCATGCGCCTCCCTGCTCCGCCACCCAATTGTTGCAGCCACAACAGCGAGAGCAATTGCATGCTCACCATCATATGCAGAGCGCACCAAGCGAGCGCTTTGAATTTGACTGTAAAGTTTTATGTTTCCGTCAGCTTTTGCCACAGTCAGTTCTACAAACGCTCAGAACGTGTTCGGATGTAATAAAGATTTAGCGGAAGGTACGCGACAACTCGGTAATAGCATAACGAGTGTGTGCGGTGGCAAAGCCAACCGGCCGGTGAAATGTTTTAATGAAATTATTATTATATTTCAATTGGTGTTTTCGGTGTAAACAAAAGTCTATGTTAATATTCAAACAGTGTATCAATAAAGTGAAATGAGTTGTAAGTTTCAAAAAGAGTGCGGAAAATGCAAGCATTTACCGGCTTGGCAGAAGCCACATTAGTTGACGCAACGGCAAACAAACGCAATATAAAAGTAATTTCGCGTCTTTAAAGTGAGTTTCCAATAAGAAAATCGATGCACCTACATTTATTGTGTAATAGTAAGTGGAGTATTTCGCTATTTGTGCGAGTAATCAAAGATTTCGAGGCACAAAATTTGTGGTAGGCCTAAATAATGTAGAGAAAATATATAAGTACATGTGTGTGTGCGAGTAGAAACGGAAAGTAAATTACGAATACAATATTCGTCAACGCGCCGCTGTGGTCGCTGCTGCAGCACAAGCGGTTGGCTTCACTCTTCAATTTATTGTATTTGCGCTGCACAATCGCAAACAAAACAATAACAAAACGGGGAAAACGCATTGTAGGGAAAGTATGAAATGCAAAAGTAGAAAATAATGCCGCGAAAAGCAATAGAAAGGAATGTGTACACAAACATATGTAAGCGTATGTGTATGTGCCGTTTCAGACAGGGACTCAAAAGAGTCTCAAACCAGTTTATTGTGGGCGAGGGGACGACGAGGAAAGACGAAGGGACCGTGCCACTCGTGTTCGGGTGGCACGCTTTGTGTTCTTTTTCGTAACAGCTCGCTGCTACCCTTTTCAGCATTCCTTTTCACTTTCAAATCCTTTGAATGGTTGCAAGAGCGCTCGGTTTCAAATGAATTCGATCGCAAATTTGAGTTCTGTTATCTATTTTTGTATGTAATATGCAAATACGTATGCATAGAATAATAGAAATATTATGACAAAGTGTAAATAAGGAGAAAATTAAGATATAGATTATGGAGTAAAGAAATTATGAATTTTTAATACGCAGTAAAGAAATTATGAGTTTTTAATACTTAAAGATTAGGAAATTGCTATTATAAATTTGGCCTTGAAAATATTAGTTGCGGATATTCAATACATTCTTGTGGATTAGGGAATTCCCGTCTTTAGTATTTTTTTTGAAACTATTTAGCGGGTAGGTACTTGTATTATGCATATTGTTCTACCATATTCATGGTAATTCATTGCAAGCAAAATGTGTGACCATCATCTCAACATACAAATGAAATACGCAGCATGCAGTGTTGCGCGGTGTTGCGCAGTCGAACCGCACAAATATTTACGAACATTTTGTGAAAAGGAATGCAGAAAAACTAGACTCGAGTTGCTGGACTCTTTTTGACCGTGTGAATGCCCAGAGCGACACCAAAAGAAAATTTGAAAAAGATCAGACTCTTTTGCATCCCTGTCTGAAACGGCACTATGTATGTTTGTAGTTGCAACTTTAGTGAAGCGGAAATAAAGAAAACAATAAAATAGAAGACAGCAGCTGAAAAGCCGGTACTAACGTGTTTGCCTCGCAAGAGTGCCGTACGGTGTTGAGTGGGTGGGTGGCGCGATTGTAAGTCATTGATTGATATGCATGCTCAAACATGCACGGATTTACATAAATATGTACTTACATATGTGCAATGTATTGTAATATATTATTTACACATTTAGAAATTTAAAAATGCATAGAAATAGGCGTCGTCGCATTATAGAAGAAAGCATAACATTTCTCAAGTTGCTGTATATTTTAATTTTGCACTGCGTTTCTGTACAAAGTATAATTCAAAAAAAATATAATATGACATAATTTTGACAGCTCTGGCAGAAATAACAATATAACCTTGAATAATGCCAAAAAAAGGTGAACACATACACATATCCATACATATGTACATATAAACATACTTACTTACGAAAGCATTGCGAAAAAATCAGTTTATCGCAAAACGCAAAAGCGGAAAGGTTTCACCGCAGCCTCTTTGCCGGTAACGTCGCTGTCGGCAGCGCAGTAGCAGCGCTGCTTGCCAAAAAGGATGTGCGTGCCGAAAAGTAAAACGCAATAACAGTACACCACTCAAGCAACACGGTTAAAAAGTAGAGGAAATGCCAAACGCTAACTGTTCAAAAGCACGAAGTCGAAGCACTGTATATATGTAAATAAATTGGCGATTGAAAATATGTATGTATGCGTATGAAATGAAAGTACAAAGCAAAATGAAAAAAACGAAGAAAATAAATTAAATCAAAACAAAATCGAAGCAAATGTTGTGGAGGAGTTGCGTGTGTAATAAATACGAATTTAGAATTTTGAATAAGTGCTTCGAAGCGCCGACAAATGGCCGATATATGGAAAAAATAAATACCGAAATATGATATATGCATATGTATGTACATATAATGTATGTATGTAGGTATATGAACGTATGTAAATGCATACCTATGAATAGCTGATTAATTATTCATTGTTTGCAATAAAGCCGACAATTATATCGAAAGTAATAAATCGAATTTTTGAGGCACAAAATCTTCAAGACGGACATACGTAGCAAAGTTTTATATATGTATATACATACCTATGTATAATAAGTATAAAAGGACGTATGTACATAATGTACATAAATATCTCCCGCTGCTCTTCGTTTGGTTTCGGTTGATAGTCACAAAGCTCCTCAAACCACCAGCCATTTTCAAATTTCGGCAAGGAGTGCCTTCAACACGGTTTGGAATGAAATTTTGGCAGAAATGGTGTTGTGCTGTTGAAAACGTCACCGATGTAGTCATCGCTTTGTTACATTCAAACTTGTACATACTTGTATGTATATATATAAGTCATATCGTTATACAATATTACTAATTCAGGAGTGTCGTGGGAATGAGGGAACAAAATACCAGCACAACAAATACTCAAATCTCACATAGTAACAGTGGATTGAAAATTGAATTAATGTGAGGAAAGTTAAGGAATAGCAGTAAAAAGAGCAAGGAAATACATATAATGATGAAATTTTGTTTGAGTGGCAATAGCCAAATGAAATTTTAGTTGACTGCCTGAATTTGATTCTCTATTAAATCATGGAATTTTACGAATTTTATTTCATTAATCATTGTCCATGAATATTACGCAGTTCTCGCTTTGTTAGAGATGTGTTTTGTGATTTGATATCATACAGGTAAATTTTCTTCTATCGGCTAATCCATCAAAAAACAAATATTAAATTAAAATAACAACAAAAACTAATTCAATAACTAATACAAATTTTCACAAGTACTACTCGAATTTCGAAGAAAAGATAAAATATCAACAGCAACCAACAAAGATGATGTGTAGCCGAACTCTTTTCAATAAACAAGACCTTGTAAAAGTGACTTGTTGAAGCTTATTATTTCATAATTCGAATTCGTTCATAATTATACCCTGAACAGGGTATATTAACTGTGCCATAAAGTTTAAAACGTCGGAGACGCTATAAAATATATAAATAAATGATCAGCATGATGAGCTAAGTTGATTTAGCCATGTCAGTCTGTCTGTATATATACGAACTAGTCCCTTAGTTTTTAAGCTATCGTTGTGAAATTTTTCGCCTATCCTTTCCTCAC